AGATAGCAATCTCTGCTCTCCACACAGAGACCAACCTGGGGTTGCTGGTACCGACTGAGGCACGGGAGGAGGAGGAAATAAGGTGAGGACTGGAGAGGGCCCTTTCTCTCTGCCTTAGGATAGGGCTCTCTAGGACTAACCCCACTGTCTTTCTGCTCAAACTGTATGGTTTCCCCGTGGGATATCTTGGTTGTTCGTGTGAGGCCAGCATTCCACCATGGCTGATTTTCATGTTATCTGGATTGTTTGCACTGACATGAGATAAGGTAAAGTGGGGACATCACTGTTTCATGCTGTGTGGGCTGCGTTATATTTTCCTCTTGGTTTGGGCCAGGCTGAGCTTGATTTCCCAAGATCCCAAAGTGAATACATTCTGCCTGATCGCAGCCCCTTCTTTCCCAGAAATCATCCTGTGGAATAAGCCCTGAACAAAGTGTTGCCTACCTCCCCTTTAACCCTTTTCCTTCCACCCAGGTGCTCCATGACCCAAGGTTTGCTCCAGAAGGTATGAATGCAGAACAATTCCCTTGTCCTGCTCACTCAGAGCCTGTCAAAAGCCCAAAATGACAGCACTGGAGTGCCAGAAGCAAGCAAGTCACCTGCAATTTCACACCTGCCATCGCTGCTTTCATGGCAGCTGGCGAGGCGAGAAGTTGATGAAAGTCCCACTTGGCCCAGGCTGAAAGTCAAAGCAACTGTTGGGCTTTTCAGGGAATGTCCTTCCCTGAAGTAGGAAGGCAGGTAGAAAACCTGCTGGCAGCTGCCTGGGGGCATCTGCTGCCTTGCTGAAGAGGCATTTGTGCTTTTTGCATGCTGTCCTGTTCTTGGCAGCAGCCTTCCTCAGCTGGAAAAAGCACTGGCCATCATCAGCTGTGGAAACACTTTCTGGGCTGTGGATTTCTTTCTGTGAAGCCATAGCTGAGCTGTGTTGGCCAAGTCTGTCTCGCTTCTAGGTGAGATTTAATAGTGCCAGGTGAGTAGTGATAACCATCCAGCAGGTTTTGACTCCACTGGACAAATCTAACCTGCAATTCTGATTGTTTCTCCCTACAGGTGTGCATGAGAGAGGACATAAACCAGGCTAGGGAGCTCCACAGTACAACTGTGCAAATGCTGTGGCAAGCTGGGCTCTGGTACCTGCTTTTCTGCCTTCCACCAAGCTCCACCATTACCAACAGGGGCCTGGCCTACCTGTCCATGGGCAAACCCGTGCTGCATTTCTCATTTGATGTGAGCTGTGGCTTTCAGGAGGCAGCAATCTTGTGGACCTTTCTGTCCCTAACCCAGTGCTCTCCACAGCAACTTACTCCTCTGGGTCTGTGGGCTGAAGACCCCCACTAAACACCCACCACAGCATGCTCAAGCCAAGAGGAGGGAGCCAGCCCCCTGCAAGAACCAGAGGAATCCAAACAGGAGTAAGAGTCAGGACAGAAACCAGACTCACAGGGCCTTGACTATGTTGCACTGCACAGACACTGTGTTTTGTGGTCTGGCCTCCCTGCTCTAATATCCTCTGACAGCTCCCAGAGCAGGAGCTGAGCAGGTTAGCGATTTGATCATGACACCAACTCCTGCGGGAGCTGCTGCTCCAGAGTCCCCTCTGCCAGGCCTCAGCAAAGCACGCAAGGAGCTGCAGGGATGTGCACCATCCAGAGCCTGCAGCAGGGACTTATCTCCACGAGGGAAGAACTGCTGGCCAAATGCTGGGCCCAGTCCAATCCTTGAAGAGTGGAGCTTTGAAAGGCAACTTCAGCCAGGCCTTGGTAAATGACTGCTTGCTTGATGGCTAATTGCTTATGAAAACAGAAGGCACAAACCCAATCTGTGCAGGTCTTATACTGCCTGTATCACCAAAGTCCACAGAAACACCCCAAATCAAATGGTACCTGTCTGAGACTTGAAGTGAAATTTTGTTTCTAAGTTCCCTTCTGTCAGACTGCAGGAGTAAAAAGCCAAAGCCACCCTGGGTAGTTCAGTTCATTGGGAATGTGTTAAGTTACGCCACAAAAACCATTCCCTTGCCAAGCAGCAAACACACAGAGCTGTGAAAGGACATGAGTGCCTCCCAGTTAATGTCACCTTCACAGCTTCCATAGGTCACAGCACAAGCAGACATCCGCTCCAAAATAAGATGCCAGGCAAAACACAGATCCCATTCTGAACAATGTCATGGGCCCAGGGAGAGATGAAGAATTTAAGAGAAGTGGAACAACAAGAAATAAAGAAAGTCCCTCCAGCAAAGACCCTGTGGCCCTTTGGTGGTTGCTCAGCACTGCACCATACAGAGGAGTGACACAATGGAGTGACTAAAGGGCCTCCTGGCACTCAGCATTCCCATGGCCATTGTTGCCAGCACGGGAACTACACAGATAGCAAACAGAAGAGCTGTGTTCCCAGGCACTGAAGCAGAGACATATCCACTACAAATAAAATGACTTCCTGAAGCTCCTAAAGCCCTGGACATACCATGCCATCATAACTGGCAAATCATATCCTGAAACAGGAAAATACTGTGCCAGGAGGGGATAAAGAATCAAGCAACCTGGACAAGCACAGGCTAGTGTTTGCCTGTGCCCTGGACTAAAATTAATTATGAGGACAGATGTAACCTGAAAGTTGCTGCAAAGGAAGGAGATCTCCTTCAGAGAGTCTTTGTTTGGCCTAAGGGATATACAGGAGAAATAGAGAACTAATCCTACCCAAATGTGGTCTCACTCCTGTTGCCTCTAGAAGTCACAAGGGATGTAGACTTGGAGAAAGAGAGGAGGTAATTTTCTAGTCTCTTTTCTGGCAGTAAAGCCCCTGTAAGATCCCAGGGAAAACTGCTCTGGACCAGCTCTGGTCAGGAGAGGAGAAGCTGGACTGCCCTGGGCAGTAGGATGGGAGACATGCTGGCCTAAGCAGCAATCTCCAGAGGATGCTACAGTCATGTGTGTAGAGGACAACAACAAGGACAGGCTGGGAGATCCATGTGGTGGTTTAGCTCTCAAAACAGCTCCTGCAGGGATTCAGAGCAGGGCACTCCAGGCTAATCTCTGCATCCCCTCAGGGAACCTGAAGGATTACTGCTCTACATCTGCTCACACGCTTGGGCCCCACCTTGTCAAGGCAGGGGAAGTGCTGACAGCCACTCTCAGTTCTTTAATCTGTTTGGGATAAAAGCAATGGGCCCTGTCCACTGTGGTGCAGCACCTCTTAACTGACTGCCTTGTTCACAGGCTTGATGGCTTCTCTTGCCTAGGGCA